AAAAAAAAAAAAAAAAAAAAAAAAGACTCAGTGAAAAAGATTTATATAACAGATTGACTGACCTCCGAAAAAAAAAGAAGTGTGACATGTCAGTGCACTGCAGTCTGTCAGAATTTTGCTGACCATGCGAGATGCCGGCAATGGAAGGTTGTCGTGGGTGGTTTACAGTGGCGTTGATTGCTTTTCTCTCCCTCCTTCCTTTCCTCCTCTGCGTCATCTTTCTCCCGCCTCGCTCCTTCTGCATCTCCTCCACTTTATACATTCCTCGCCTCCAAGAGCAACAGAGAAAGAAAAAAAGGGCAATAAAAATTTTTAGAAGGAAGAGGAGGAGGAGAGGAAGAAGGGAGGGGGGAAGCGTTCAGCCTGCTATGGCGGACAAGCTCGTCAGCCATAGTGGTCTGAAACATCAGAAACCTTCCCCATTCCTTCTTCCTCTCCTCCTCCTCCTCGTCATCCTTCTCTTCCCTCCCTCCTCCTCCATCCCCTCCTCCTCTTTCTAATTGCCTCCCCTCCACCAGCAACAGATAAAGAAAAAAGGGCAATGGAAACTTTTAAATGGCGAGGAGCAGGAGGAGAGGAAAGGGGTGGGGTAAGGGTTGAAACACTGCTATGGCTGACCAACTTTTCAGTCGTAGAAAGAGTTTGAGACCTATCCCCTCCCTTCTTCCTCTTCTCCGTCACGTCTTCTTCTTTCTCTGCTCTCCTTCCTGGCCAACCTCCTCCTCCTCCTCTTCCTGCTTCCCTATCCTCCGCAAACAACAGATCAAAATAAAACGACAACAAAAATAATTGAATAACAAGTAGGAAAGGAAGGAGGAAAGGGGAAGAATTCGGACTGCTATGGCTGACATATTCGTCAGCCATAGCCATCCGAACCCCTCCCCCTCACGTCCTTGCTCTCCTCCACACCTCATCTCTCTCTCCTCCTCCCTCTCCTCCTCCCTCTCCTCCTCTTCCTACTTCCCTTCCCTCCACGACCAGCAGAGAAAAAAAAAACGGCAACAATTTTTTCTTGAATGACAAAGAGGAGGAGATGAGGGAGGGAGAGAGGAGGGTTCAGAGTGTGCTATGGCTGACAGAAATTTGAGACACAGCAGTATGAAACATTTCCCCTCCTTTCCTCCTCTCCTCCTCCACAACATGTTTCTCTCCCCTCGGTTCCCCCTCCATCTCCCCCTCCTCTTTGTACCTGCCCCCTCTTCACAAACAACAGAAGAAGAAAATTTAAAAAGGATTACAAACAAATATCAATGACTAGGAGGAGAGGCAGGAGATGGGCAGAAGGGTTCAGGCTGCTATGGCTGACATGTTCTTGTCAGCCATAGCAGTCTGAACGCTTCCGCCTTCCATCTTTTCTCTCTCCCTCTCCACGTCATCTTTCCCTCCCCTCTTCCGTCTTTCCTCCCCCGTGTTCGTTGTAGTCTCTCCCTTTCCCTTTTCCCTCTCGTTCTACCGTCTTCACCCGAATAGAACGCCCGACCGTTATCGCTGCATCTGGGCTGGAAACTGTGCCAAATACAGGTATAATGACCGGGCGTTCTATTCAGGTGAAGACGATAGTTGTAGATGCTATCTCCACCTTGGATGGGCGTCACTAGATTATTAATGGATACGAAGAAGGAAGAGGGTGAAAACGAGGAGAATTTAAAGAACAAGGGGGAAAAAAATGAGGATTGGCAAATAAGAGGCAGACGGAGCTTTTACCTTGTTTCTCGTGGATCCACCACTGGAGAGACGGCAGGGGTTATGGTGGGAAGGAGAAGCCAGAGGTGCATTTGACATACCTACCATCTTCCCCCAAGCACAACGCACCCTAGTAAGGAATGTATACAAGCTATCTTTCCGGTTCGGTCCGTACAGCCATTATGAGGGTGCGTTGTGCTCGGGGGAAGACGGTAGTAGCCTTGGTAGCAGAAGAGTCGGGAAAACATATCTGATCCAGGAGGGAATTGAAAGGGAGGGTCGAGGGAGGGTTCGGGTAGGTATGCAAAAGTGAAAAGTAACGGGGAGTGAACAGCGAGGAGAGCAAGTAGCCTTGGTAGTAGAAGAGTCGAAACGGCATACCTCATCCAGGAGGGAATAAAAAGGGAGGGTCGAGGGAGAGTTATTGTGTGCAAAAGTGAAAACGTAACGGCGGATGAGCAGCGAGGAGAAACACGAGGCGGATGGGAAGAGAGACATGGGATTCGACATCTTTTCCAAAGTTCGACCTACCGGTAGATTAGCATGACAACGATCCTCTCCCTTTCGATCTGCGAAATCTAGAGAAGTTCAGGGGAAAAAAAGTGCAGGCGAGCATAGAAAAAGCCTGACCTACAACGACCAAGGCGGTGGGAGTATTTGTTGCAAAGTTTTGAGTAGGGTGTAGTAGGCGTTTGGCATAGGTATAGTACACGTTCCCCACGAATAAGAAGAACGAGAGACGCGACATTGGGGGGAATCGGAGGGAGGCCCGCCTTGTCCACGAGGTGCGTTTTCTCCTCGCTTCACTCCTTTCCCTCTTCCATTGTTTACTTTTGCTCCAAGATTCGTTCTTCCCCTACTGTACCTCTGCGCCTCTCTCTCTCTCTCTCTCTCTCTCTCTCTCTCTCTCTCTCTCTCTCTCTCTCTCTCTCTCTCTCTCTCTCTCTTCCCCTGTGCGTGTGTGTGTCTATGCACATGCGTGTGTGCATGTGTACATGTGTGTCTGGGTGGGCGGGTGAGTGTGTGGCGAGCGGCGCCCACGCTGTCCGAAGGTCGTTCGTCTCCCTCCTGTTTCACACGTAGCTGAACAAAGCCTGAGCGCTCTCTCTCTCTGTCTGTGTGTGTGTGTGTGTGTGTGTGTGTGTGTGACCTTCGAGTGGTGGACGATGTAAGCATCTCTCTCTCTCTCTCTCTCTCTCTCTCTCTCTCTCTCTCTCTCTGACCTTCAAGTGGTGGACGATGTAAGCATCTTTCAGTTCTCCCGCGAATTTGGGGGGCGGGGTTTGACAAAGGCGCGCAATGAGCAACGTCACAAGACCTGACGACTGCAGCGAAGTTCTCGCTTCTCGGAACTGACTGATCATGTGAGCGGTGGTTGGATTTTCGTGGCCTGCTCATATCTAATGCTGTCGCGACCCCGTTTCATTATGACACATGGTGCTGTCACAAAAAGCCACGCAGGATTATATTTGGACCGATCGGAACTGAGGGCATAGGGTCTGGCTCCACTACTATGGGCCTCGCCACACCACTCTTGAAACCCGGTTTTCAAGAGTTGGAGCCGTCGCCACACAGCCACTTGAGAGTTGTGGCCCGAAAACTCTTTCGAGAGTTGTCAGAACCTCGTTTTGAGAGTAGCTCTCGAAACTCCTAAACGCCCAGCCTGCAGCGCCGCGCTTTTCAAGCGTCCTCCCGAGGGCACTCCAAGGACTCTCAATTTTCAGGACTCTCGATTTTCGAGAGCTTTCGGGCCGTTATCCTGACTCCATTTGGAAAAAACAAAGCTGCACGACTCTCGTTTTCCATCGTTTGTCCAACACCATCACGCTTTCGAGAGTGCTGTGTGGCGAGGGGGCCGGAACTCTTGAAAACCCAACTCTTGAGAACATCTGACAGATCTTGAAAAATTTCCCCGTTTCAAGAGTGGTGTGGCGAGGCCCTATCTGCTGTAAGATTTCGATAGTGGGACACCGTATACTATCCGAAGGGTCTCGCTGCACTACTATCCACTCTCCGAAATCGGAGAGTTCGGCATCGCTGCACTAACTATCCCATTTCTCCCTTTGCAAATGTTCGGATAGCTGTCAGATACCACCATCGAGAAGAACTATCCGCGCGCGGATAGTTCCCAGCCTGCAAAGAAGGTTTTCCGGATGGACCTCGGCGGGCCTCTCCAAAATGCTCTGAATTCGGAGAGTGTGCCTGGAGTCGGGGCGGACAAAATGCAGATGACGCCAAGTACTCCAGTGCTGTCGCCTCGTCTGCTAGTGTTCTCACGAACTGGAGTGTGGGACCACGGATAGTAAGTGTAGCGATGAGCAGAAAACCGCAAATTCGGAGAGTTCAGCAACTCTCCGGCAACTCTCCGAATTTGCGGAGAGTGGATAGAAGTGCAGCGAGACTCGAAATGTACCTTCGGAAATCACCGTATAGTTGTCTGATGGCGCCGTCCAGATTCAAAATATGATCCCATATAGTTCCCAGCCTGCAAAAGTCGTTCCTCGGAGGTTGGTCGATGGAGGTTGGCGTTCTACTTTGAATTTGTATGGTGCACCTGAAGTCGGGGCCGACAAATTGCTGTCTTGTAGTGCTGTTAGGTTGTTTTGTAGTGAAGTAGGGAATTGGATACTTGTATAGCAGATAGGGCCTCGCCACACCACTCTCGAAATGTGAAAAAGACAAACATCTGGCGGATGCATCTGGTCATCTTCTACCAGGAAGTTCATTCTCATTTTGCACATTTCGAGAGACTGTGGTGGAGCGACGTCGGGTTTCATACGTTTTTTCACGCTCTGACTGATACCACGCTAGGGCGTGGGGGCGCAGCCAGGATGGTGGCGGACCGGCAATCGCACAAACTGTCTGGAGAGACGCGCAGGGAAAATCACGGGCATAGCAGCGACCCGGGGAGGAGGGGGTAAATTATTCACGGGCATAGCAGGGACCCGGGGAGGAGGGGGTAAATTATTCGTAGAGGAATTCAAGGTCTGTGGTGTCAGCCTGCAGTCCATTTGCCCCTTTTCGTTGGGTTGACGGTCTCGCACAACCGGGATGCCCCTCGGGCTTTGTACAACTTCTTCGTGTATGCTGGTGAATTTCACGAGTGTCCTTACTGGTACCCAGCATGTTTTTTGTTTGCAAACCTTTCTTTCTCTCTCTCTCTCTCTCTCTCTCTCTCTCTCTCTCTCTCTCTCTCTCTCTCTCTGTGTGTGTGTGTGTGTG